GTTTCTTATCATCCACTTTTTAAAGCCAGCTTCTGCTAATGGAACACAGTCTTTCTCCATCAGGCCTTGTTCTGTTGCTGACGAGGAATTGTGATCCCCTGTAGAGGGAGAGGCGTTCTGAGTTTGGGTATTCTCAGCCTTTTTAGGCTGGTTTCTTCCCTTCGTTATAAATTTATCCATCTGTGGTCTTTATAATTACCGTCTTTATAGTTGGGTTTCTGAATGGACGTCCAACTTGTTGATTCCTGGTGCTAGAATCTGAGCAACCCGCTGCGCCGGCCAAAACAGCGGCTTTAAGATTGACGGTGCTTTTCTGACTCTGCATCAAGAACCGCCACACCAAGGCAGCGGCAAAACCGCCTCACCGGCCTCAAGAGTCGCGCTGGCGACATGTGGGGCTCCTCCGCTGGGAATCTCCTGGTGCGTGAGCAACAAAAATTGATCTGAAAATGTGGCGTCCTCTCGTTCTGTGCTCTTTCAGTGGGAGCTGCAATCCTGAGCTGCTAGTGATCAGCCATCTTGGATCTCTCTCCTGTTTGTTTTAGACACAGGGTCTTGCTCTGTTGCCCAGGCCAGAGTGCAGTGGCATGATCTTGGCTCACTGCAGCCTCAACCTCCCCGGATCAAGTGATTCTCCCACTTTAGCTTCCCAAGGAGCTGGGACGACATACATGTGCCACCACTCCTGGCTAATTTTTGTATTTTTAGTAGAGACAAGTTTTGCCATGTTGCCCAGGCTGGTCTCAAACTCCTGGATTCAAGCAATCTGCCTGGCTCGGCTTCCCAAAGTGCTGGGATTACAGGCAATAGCCAGTGAATCTGGCCTACTTTTTTTTTTTCAAGTGACTTGAAACAAGACAAATTTATTCTCTTGCATTTCTGGAGGTCAGAATTCTAAAATCATGGAGTTGGCAGCCTTCTTCTAGAAGCTTCAGGTTGAGAATCTATTTATCTTTTCTAGCTTCTAGAGGCTGTCTGCATTGCTTGACTTCTGGCCTTTACCCCTATTCCTCCCCCATTTTCTGAAAGAGTTTGTGTAAGATTATTATTTCTTATTTATTTATTTATTTTCTTGAGACAGGGTCTCACTCTGTTGCCAAGGCTGGAGTGCAGTGGCATGATCTTGGCTCACTGCAGCCTCAACCTCCTGGGTTTAAGTAATTCTTCCACCCCAGCCTCCTGAGTAACTGAGACCACAGGTGCATGCCACCATGCCTGGCTAATTATTTTATTTTTTGTAGAGATGGGGTGTTGCTATGTTGCCCAGGCCGGTCTTGATCACATGAGTTCAAGCAGTCCTTCTGCCTCAGCCTCCCAAAGCGCTGGTGTTACAAGTGTAAGACACCATATATATCCAGCCTATAATTTCATCTTCAAATATTTGATAAAATTCACCAGTTAACCATCTGGGCCTGGAGCTTCTTTTGTAAAAAGGGTTTTGATAACAAATTAACTTTCTTTAATAGATACAAGGTAATTTATACTTTCTGTTTCATTTTATGTCAGTTTTGGTTATATTTGTCAAGGTTAACTTTATCTTCATTTTTGAATTTTCAGGAAATATCTTGTCTATAATATTATTTTATTATGATTTGAATGTCTGTAGGCATTCTAGTAGTGATAACCCCTTTGTATTTGTGTTTTCTCCTTTTTCTTGCTGATTAGAGGTTTATCTATATTGTTGATTTGTTTCAAATAATTAATTTTTGCATCTGTCATTTTACCTTGTGAGTTCTTCTTTGTTCCGTGGATTTTTAGAAATACATGTCTCATTTCCAAATATTTTGAGATTTTCATAGATATCTTATTGTTATTGGCTTTTCATTTAATTTCATTGTGGGCCAAGTACATACTTTGTATGACTGCAATTCTTTTAAATTTATTGGAACTTGGTTTATGGTCAAGCACATGGGCTGTCTTGGTGAAAGTGACAAGCATACTTGAAAATAAATATATTATCTAGGATTTGGGGTACAGGTCAAGATGGTTGAGATAATCTTTATTGGTTTTTGGTTTTGGTCTACTTGTTCTAGAAGTGTCGAGAGAAAGAAGTTAAAATCTGCAAAATGCAAAATATATAATTGCAAAAGCCTTGCACCCATGTATGTCCCTTCACCCCTCCACCTGTTTCTATTTGTGTCATAGTTGCCATGTGTATTATATCTTTATGTATTTTAAGGAAATAAAGAGAAAAATATTTTAAAATATTCACCTGGATAATTATTATTTCAGAAACTGTTCATCCCATCCTTAAGATCTGATTTTCTGTTTTCTATCAATTCCCATCAGCCTGAGGAATTTCCTTTAGCATTTCTTGTAGTGCAGTTCTTCTGATTGTGAATTCTGGTTTACTTTTATCTGCAAATGTCTTCATTTTACTTTCATTTTTGAGGATATTTTCACTTGATGTGGAATTTTGGGTTGACAGGTTTTATTTTCTTTCAACACTTGAATGATGTTGTCCCACTGTAGGGTTATTGCCTCTATAGGTGCTGATGAGAAGTCAGTGGTTTCTAATTTGTATTCCCCTTTATGTGATGTGTCGTTTATTATTCTGGCAGCTTTCAAGATTTTTTTCTCCATGTTTGTTTTTCAACATTGTGACTATGATGGAATGCTTTTCTTCTTTTTTACTCTGGGATTCACTGAACTGAGATAAACAATGAAGATGTGGATGCCTTGATGAAGAGCCTGCAGGTCAAATCTTCGCCTATAGTAAATGATGGTGTGGTTCGTTTGAGAGGACTTCCTTATAGTTGCAACAAGAAAGACATTGTAGACTTCTTTGCAGGACTGAATACAGTTGACGTTACTTTTGTGATGGACTACAGAGGGGGACGAAAGACAGGGGAAGCCTATGTGCAATTTGAAGAACCAAAAATGGCCAACCAAGCCCTGTTGAAACACGGGGAAGAAATTGGTAATCGATACATCAAGATATATCCAAGCAGAAGGAATGAAGTTCGAACACATGTTGGTTCTCATAAGGGAAAAAAAATGGCATCTTCTCCTACTGCTAAGTATATAACTGAGCCAGAAATGGTCTTTGAAGAACACAAAGTAAATGAGGATATTCAACCCATGACAGCTTTCGAAAGTGAGAAAGAAATAGAATTGCCCAAGGAGGTGCCAGAAAAGCTTCCAGAGGCTGCTGGTTTTGGAACTACGCCTTGTCTGCATTTTGTCCACAGGACCTTTCCGAGCCAATGCCCAAGACATTATAAAATTTTTCGCTGCACTGAAGCCTGTTAGAATCACCATGGAATACAGCTCCAGTGGGACGGCCACTGGAGAAGCTGATGTGCACTTTGAGACCCATGAGGATGCTGTTGCAGTGATGCTAGAGGATCGGTCCCACGTTCATCATAGGTATATTGAACCGTTCCTGAATTCTTGTCCAAAAGGAAAATTAGACTTCAGGGGCTCCAGATAATAAGAATGAAGCAAGAAGCATTTCATTTGCACATCTTTCTTGGACATGGGATATACAATTCCAGTTTATTAGCAGCAACTGCTGGGGAATTGATTTTGGTGTTTTGGGTTAATTGCTTTTAAGAAAAATTTCATAATGGTCTGCTTAGAAGAAGAAATGAAAGATCCAGTTTGGGATTATGAAATAAATCACAAATTAAAACTTTTATTTAAACTGTCCAGGATCTGATTTAAAAATATGATCTTTATTTCATATGATTAAATAGTTTGTTTTCATAGATGATATGTTATCCATTGTAAAGACTACATATTTTTATTTAGCAGTATTCCTTAAACTCTTTCATTTAAAAAATAATATTCATTTTTTTTCCCCCTGTGAATTGAGTGCTCTGATGTAAAACTTCTCATGGAGTGAAACAGTGATTTATTTTAACCAAACATTCACCAAAGCAAAGAAAGTTTTCAGACCTTTGAACTGGTATGGTTTGGCAGAATAGTTTTAAATTTTGCTGTATTTGATTACTTAGAGAGATAGGAATTTAAAAAAATCAAAACAAAAAATAAATAACACACTTTAGCGAGTGTAAATGACAGTTTGGCAGTTTTATGTCTTTAGAAATGTTTTGCCTTTCTAAGCCTGTGTAAAGGTGTTTAATGTTGGTGCCTATTTACTTAAGGGACATTCTAGTCTTTACTTAAAAGTTGTCTGAACTGTCCCTCCCTGGCTTTTTTTGGTTTGGGGTAAACCTAAGGATGTTTGTTAGTCTCAAAACTGTGAAGTGGCATGTCAGAACAGTCCAGACTGGTGAGAAAATTAATGGCTTCACTTGAATTTAAACCAGCTGTAGATAGGAAACAATCAGTCTCCTCATTTGCTTTTACAATGGAGTAGCACATCCCATATTTTAGAACAAGTAGGGGTGCCTTGATTAAATAAAAATAGCATTTGATGTATAATTGTGTGAAGGGTTTATGGATAAAGCTGTACTTCTGTCACAGTGTGGCAGTACATTCTGCTTTAATATTAAACAGCTTGTTATTTAAATATTGGACAAAATGGCTGGCTTCAAAATGTAGTCATTAATAAACTAAAGCTTTATGTGCACCTGTGTAGGAGAATCAAAATCCTGTGTACTTTCTTTGCCTTGTTCCTGCTCTCAGGGTGACGACTGCCACCAGGAGATGCAATTCTAGTTCTTAAAATTAAATTTGCCCAGATTTCTGAGAGGTGATATCTGGAAGAGAGACTATGTCTTCTCTTATTTAATACATAACCATCTTTGATTACCAGCTAAGATGCTAAATCACTGTACTGTAAGTAGTCAATAAGTGAAGATTTTTTTCAGGCTGAAGATCACCTAAGAGTATTTATTATTGGAGTGTGTGAGTCACTGAATATACGATTACCTCAAGTCCTGGTATATTAATATAAGAAGAAATGGTTAATTAAAAAAATACATTCCTCAGAAGACTTGCTATTTTTGTTTTAGCAGACAATTAACTTTGTTGAACTTATATTGAAAATGCTGCCTCTTGGGTGGCAGTCAAAATTTCAGTTTAGCTCTTTTGTCCTTAATTGATATGTTTGCCATCTGTCTGTGCATGTATGGTTATGATGTCAGAGGACAGGCATGGTGGCTCACATGTCTAATCCCAGCACTCTGGGAGATCGAGGTGGGTGGATCACTTGAGGTCAGGAGTTTGAGATTAGCCTGGCTGACAGGGCAAAACCCCATCTCTACTAAAGAAACAAAAATTAGCTGACTGTGGTGGTACATGCCTGTAATCCCAGTTACTTGGGAAGCTGAGACAGGAGAATGGCTTGAACTTAGGAGGTGGAGATTGCAGTGAGCTGAGATTGAACCATTGTACTCCAACCGGAGTGACAAAGCAAGACTTAGATCTTTCCTTGGTAGTATTCTCTCTGTATACTCTAAGAGCTGTGGTTTTCCCAAACTCTGTTTTCTCGTTTTTCAAGCCAGAAAGACTGTATATCTCAGAGTTTAAGCCTTCACGTGTGGTACTTACCATGTCTTGCCTTAGCCCACCCTTAAGCTAAAATGTGTGATAACAGGGCACTCACCATATCAGAATCTGCCTGCTTTTGTGCCTCTCTTGAGTCTTGTAACTATCTGTTAAGAGAGTCTGTGTTAAGAGTTTACTTGAACATGCTGGAAGTGGAACTCCTCTCACCTTCATTTTGAAGGCTAGTTTTACTGCATATACAATTCTTTGCTGATAGGTTCTTAAATTCGTTTCTTTTTGCACTATGCCATTCCAATATCTTCCAATATCTATAGTTTTTGTTGAAAAGCCATCTGTAATCATGTTGGTCTTCCTCTGAATGTAATATATTGTGTGTGTGTGTTTTTTCTGGTTTCAATATTTCCTTGTTGGCAGTTTAACTATGAAGTGTGTGGGGGTAGTTTCTTTTGTGTTTATCAAGTTTTCAGGTTCCTTAGGCTTCTTGAATCTATTAACATTTTCTACCACATTTTGGAAGTTTTCAGTTATTTTTTCTCCAGTGATTTTTTTTTCTCTTTTTCTATCTCCTCCTTTTCTAGGACTCCAATTGCACATATTTTGAAATCTTGAAATTATTCCGTGGGTCTCTGAGGTTTTGTTAACTTTTCTTCAATATTCTTT